CTACTCTCTTAATTCTTTTTTTCAACACTAATTATTTAATTCACATCAGATAAAATACTATTTGGTCGATGTTGAGTATTTATTGTAGTGATGGTATCTTAAGTCCTGTCCCGATACGAGATACCACATACCTGATTTTGAGCGAGCCATCAATGTCACACGGGGAAAGAAAAAAATATTCAACAAAAGATATTCCTCATTACACAGTGTCATTGAGAGGACTTTTGGTGTTTAGAAGAATAAATATGTTAAATTTTGTGATGTCATCTTACTCGTTTCCCAAACAAGTACAAATTGTGATTGTCATAATTACTCTCCATAATTATGTTCCACGACATCATTCCCGTAATGACATCGACTTTCGTAGGGCAGACGAGGATCATACACATGTTTTTGCTGAGACATATGAGTACTGTTTTTGACAGACTTTGTCATAGGCCGAAAATGTTGTTCCCGAGACCTACACTTAAGATGAGGAAGGTGCAAGCAAAATGATAGAGTTGAAGGAACAAATTACGGATGTGATAGTTGGAGGGTGATTGAAGGAAATGTTAGTTTTTTATTTTTTTAGTTATAATGGTTGTTGAAGAAATTTACTGTTTATAATATCAGTATTTTATGTATTTCATGTTTATTTTTGTTCCTTATGCATTTGATATTTATTGTTTTGATTTTTTACGCAATTTGTATGTATTTTTTTCTTTTGTATTTTTTTTTCTTTTGGTGGGTTTTGAAGGTCTATGATGAGACGTTTGACCTTATCAGTTCTTCTGGATGATATGTATGTCACTATTGGTTGGTGTCACATGTGAAATTCTAATAAAGACAACCAAATTCCTCTCTTTTTTTCGGTTATATGGTTTTTGAGGTTTTTGTAGATGATATTTTTTGGTGATATACATATTTGACACACATGAGCTTAGTATTATGTGGGTTAAATGTAGCAAAGAACCATTTTTTTATAAGGTCTATTGTCTTCTTATAACGACATATTCGTTGTTTTAGATACTGAGTTATCTGAGACGTCACAGCTGCATAAAACTTTAATTAATTACTTTTGTTATCAATTTTTACTTGTGTTATGTCTAAGGATATCTTTTTTAAGCCTTCAGGAAAGATGAGCTTGAGAATTTTTGTTACCTCCAGATGATTGCACTGTTAGTGTGAGCTTCAATATTCCCTACTCACTTCACGTTAGCCACATATTTACGGGAGACTATTTTATAGGTGCTCACGAAGAATCACGTAAAACTGTGCCTATTTTCGGTAGGCAGATAGACTGGAAGATTCCACTGTCGAGAGTGATCGAGCATGGAGAGTATTCCTAGAGGATGACTTAGCTCGTGACATACCTCGTTTGCATTTTAAAAATAATATTATCATATTATAATTGTTGTTTTAATAGTCATTTTATTAATTTTGGTAATTATGCTACCCACTGTTAAGTGAGATATCTTTCTTTATTTTGTAATGTTATGTACTGGATATTTGCTTTTAAAGTATAGAATGTACTGGCATGAACGATTTTATTGCAAACATCATTACTATACAAGAGGAATGATAATTTGTCTAGAAACAATTGCATAACAGTTGTTTTAAAACTACAAAAAACAAACAAACAATCAGTTTATTAGCAGCGGTTTATTATTAAGCTGCAACTGCCCCGAAACAGACGATTAATCATTGCATTACTAGCATAGAAAGAGTTGAACAACATAAATATTTGACATATGAAATAATTAGCAAAACTCATAAAAAAATAAAATTATCATATTTCACCATTGCCCCCACACCAAACACCACTGCCCCCACACCACCTCTACACCAATCACTACCATCCCCACACCAAACACCACCGCCCCCATACCACCCCCACAAATTCTTACTCAAATATTATTTGTAAAATAATCATATTAGGATTAATAACTCATACATAAGAGCAGAAAGTAACTTTCATATAAATGCATATAGCTGCCACGAATATAAACACATAAGAATTGTATGTTAGGTTTGTAAATTTCTCAGAAATTTAAAGAATAATCCCGAGATAGCTAGATAAATATCCTAAAACTTCTTTTTTATTTGTGTTTTAGGCATTATTTTTCCCCCAAATAGTCAAATCATCCAAAACATCTTTTCCCCAAAAATTCCTTTAGCAAAATTTCATCCAAATAGCATACATCAACCCCCCTCCATCACATACACAACACACAATTCTAATAAATTTATATATCTCACACAATAGCTTTAATATTTATGCACACAATACTTAAATCTATCAAACCATATCAAAATGAATACTCTTACAACATAAGCAACATAGGGAAATCATTGTGAAGCAGTAAAATATGCACGAGTAAGGCTATCATCATTCTTCAAACTTCATATTATGCATACAACTGCCATGAATGTAAAAACATAAAAAATGTGTGTTGCGTTTGTAAATTTCCCTAAACATTACAGAAGAATATTGCGCTAGTTATGGAAGTATCACAAAATTCTAAAATCCCTACATAAAAGGCACAAAGTGATCGAAATCTCCTCATAAACAAAATACATGGCGGTTAACAATTGCTAAGGCACCTAGTCAAAAATTGAAAGTCATGATAAATTACCAATCAATATTCGTGAAAAGACAGCACCCGAAACATTACCGTTAACACATGTTAAACTAGTTTGCAACCATTCTTCAAATTCATACTCAAAAAACAAATTTCATGATAAATTCCCAATCTATATTCACAACGTACACAACACCTTAAACATTGTTGTTAACAAATATACCACCAACTATCATCCATTTCTTAAACTCTCACTCAAATAGCAAAATTTTGGATAAAATCCCAATCCATATTAATGAAGTACACAATAATTGAAATATTGTTGTTCATATATCACTCCAAACATTTCTAAAATTCACTTATACATCACAAATAAATGGAGGAAAAAGGAAAAATGCCAAAATCTTTAGGCCGATGGGTATGTAATTATATCAATAAAAACAAAACCAACATAATAGAAGCGGCGCTTTGTATGTATCAACCAAAGATCACAAATCGAATATACAAAAGCCAATTGAAATCACAAAGCACATAGAAAAATGGGGTTGTAGCCACCGAAAATAAAGAAAAAAAAGGGAAGTCTCCGGTGCTATGTATATAAAAATCCTCAAAAAAAGAAAAATCTTTTTGCAAACCATACAACTCATAGAGCAAATCAATGAAGCAGATATGATTGGGGGAGGATACCAGAGGAATAAAGAAGCAAACACCGACAAAAATCCTATTTAGATATGTTAGCGAACAAAGAGAGAAAATTGAAAAAACTCTAGGCATGTCGCTTGCTGGACTAAGCCGAGCGGAAGGGAGGGCACGGGAGTAAAAAATGCAGGGGTGGGATCGCGGTGAGGCTTATCGGGCACATTTAATAAAGCGTGCCCGCACCTTACCATCCAAACACCTGGAACAGTGGCAGTGGGCCGCGACGCAACGGAAACGCTGCACCAAATGGACTCTGATTAGTTATAAAAATTTGGCAAGTTCTTCTAATATTCAGTATTTTCTTCTTGTTTCCCCATATTTATTGAATCAGTGACATTCTCAAATTGTTGTTCGTACTTTACCTGTGTTTCTATTCTTTGATCCTCCCCCACCCAATTTCTAGAGTTGCGGGGATCATCGAATTGTTGTTTATCTCGATCCAAGAATGTGGTCCTATCAGTACTCCAAACTGTCTAGTTGAAAGGAAGTGTAAAACTAAGATGACCAAATTTGGGCTAGATAAACCAATGATCAAACAATTACTGAACCCAAAAACTAAGTTTATGGACTAGTGCCAAACAATTAGTATTTTTTTAACAATATATTTTTAAATGTATGATGTCAAATTATAAGCCAACAGCCTACTTAACAAAGTGGCGGCATTGTGGTAGTCACAAACTTTTATTTTTTCCTATACCATGCTAGAACTCACTAAAGGTCCGTTAGAGCCACAAATACCTTGATTCACTTGATCCCAATGGAGCCATCAACTCTAAAACCATTTGTTAGGGGAGGATGAATAAAAGTAGATGAGCAGTTAAACTTAATACACTCAATAATGGTCAAATTCTTTTTTAACAGAAAGGCTTAGGGTTTCTTAGGGATGACTTTTATTTTTTTTTTTTGTTTTTTGTTTTGTTATTATTTTAAAAATATATTTGTTTAATGCCTTGTTTGCATATTTTTATCTTTTTATTTTAAGAAAATAATTTATTTTTAAAAACACACTCAAGACAACTAAAAGTTATTTTAAGTGTTATTAAAAACAACTAATCATGTTATAACATACTAAACATATTTTATTTTAATTAAGCATAAAAAAAAAATCAAAAAACAAAAAAGGATCCCAAAGCCCTCTTAAACTTTTAAGCAAGACCAACCACTGGTTGTTTCTATATTAAAATATTTTCAGTTATCCGATATATGGGACTAACACTTGCAATGGCACTTCACTATTGTAGTTGTTGACAGCAGGGCGTCAATCGATGCATGCGCACATTAGATCTTCAACCAAGCATCAACACATAATAACAAAGATGCAAATACTATTCAAATTCTCATTTTACATTCAGTGTCAATGTTAAAAATTAGAATTTTGAAGTCCTTTAGAAAGGTTTCACTATGCAATTATCTCATTCAGATGAAATGAGTGGCTTTCAATGAATAAGACTGACACCATTTTTACTGATCTCTCCCACCTGCTGATAAAATTACCCACAGCCCGGATTAGCATATATGTTCTCAACATTTGGAAAACCACAATCCTGAAAAGAAGACTTATTTTGAGATGTTGGATGGTGAGATATGTAAATACAAAGAAAAACATTCAAAAAACACCAAAAAGGCATATATAAAAGGCAAGATAATCATCGTAAATCTCATAATAGCTTTCATTGTTGTATGAACTTGAGTAAATTCATAAGTATGATAGATAAGTTAGTGTGAAGAATTTGTACATACCATAAAGTACAGAAATGGGTAGAGAGAGCATAGAGGCAAGGCTGAAAGTCAAAATATATGTAAATAAATAAGTATTGTGTGCTAAGTATGTAAATTTCGCTCATAAATACATAAATTTAGAAGGGCTTAGGTGACAACTAAGAGAAACTAAAATAAACAGCAGAAGAACAGTCAACTTGAAATACCATAATTCATACTATAATGAACAAGACAAACTTAAAAAACCCAACTGCATGCTAAAGGAGAAAATCTGTACAAAAAAGTCTCTCCTAAATATTTGGAATCCTCATCCTCTTTAAATCAATCTTTGAAGTGAAGCTATCCAAAGAATAGTATAGCCTCTTTTGAAGATATCAAGTAAATGCATCATTATAATTTTTTTTTTTTTGGAAGATTTACATATATACCTGAGCATATAGTGACGATCCATATATAAACAAATTCTCTGTAGGGGATTCCAGGATGTTCCTCGTTCCTCAGATCCTGCTTGCATCCTGGGCAGTTCCCATAGTACACTTTCTTCTTCAACAAAACTTCTGCGCCTGCTGACATTTTTTTCCAAAAAGATTGGATGAAAGAAAGCAGCAGGTCTTCACTTCACTGCAATTAGATGGAAAGATGCTCTCTTCCGCTCAAAGCCAAGAAAAATGGATCTTTTTGTAATTTCGAAAATGGAGGGCAACATGAACACGACTTCTGTACAGGTAAAAACTAGAATCACAATATTCCAAATGGGCATTTAAATACATACCACCCAATTTCAATGTATTTGCATATTACCATCGAAATTTTGCTTTTTATATTTATTCATTTTAAATATTTCATATCATATGAAACTTATCGGTATTTAAACTTTTAAAATGTGAAATATATTTTTCCATTCATTGATAAGGTTGTGTGTCCCTAAAAATTGAGGTTTTGGTGTTAGACATGTAAGTATATAAGAATTGAGTGGCATGTATGTAAATCTTCCCATTCCAAAGCCTTGAGTCTGAAAGGAATCATTTTTATTCAGAATGAAGCCTATCAGCCCTACTGTTCACGGCAACGTGAAATTGTACGATCATAATTCATATGATTCTTTTTATTTGCAAAAATATGTTTTTTCATAGGAAAAAAAAGAAAGATTTACATAAAGAACACTTAATTCTTATGTATTTGCATATTCTATTCATGCATGAAAATATATTTCACTTGTACAATGTTAAATAAGTGATTTTGTTAATGTAATATGAAAAATTTTGATGATAAAAATATAAAAAATAAAGTTTAGATTTTACATATATTTAGGAATTGGGTGGTATGTATGGATATATCGGAGGATTTCCTATTATTTATATAAATATAATTGTTTTTAAAAATTATTGCAAAAATCATCATTTCCATTGATAGAAATAACTAATCATGATCTTATATGTCAGTGTCTTACAAAAATGCGAATTCAAAAGTAATTCGGAGTTTTTTTGTAAAATTCCATTATTCAAACCTTATATACGTCACTCACTGCGTCACTGCACGGCTTTCCAGTGAATAAACCAAAAGGTCTGGTGTCATTTAGCATAATTTTTAAAAATTATTTCTTTATATTTTTTATGTTTTGAAATGAAAGATAAATATATATTAACGGCTTAAATATAGGTTTGTTTATTTATTTATTTTTTTTTTAAATCACCCAAAAGACTGGACGGAGACAGCAGCACAAAATTTTGGTGGTTTGGTGTTTTAAAAATAATGATAACATATAAAAATTAGATGGTTTTTTTTTAATATCTTCATTTAACTTTAAATGCCAAAAAAGGCACAATGCTAATTAAATATATATTTTTAGAAATTAAAAACAAGCAAAATGTGATATTAAATAACCTTAAAAAAATTTAAATTAGTTTGTTCTGACTTATAATAAAGATGGCTTTCAAAATTAGTGGATTTGCTACAAGATAAAAATAATTCTTTAAAATCATGCAAAATTTGTATTGCACCAATCTAACAATAACTCCATTCACTTTAATTTTCATATCACTATAAATTTTGATCAAATATTCTTAGCCAATATTTCTCCTCAATCTAATAGTAACACACATTTTAGCATCATGAAATGAAGTAGGGGCAGAACTAACATTAATTTTTAGAATGTGTAAGGTCATAAAATGTCAACTTTTTTTACGTTTAAACATATTATACTCGTATGCGTTAAAGTTGCTAGCACGAATCTCAAAGGGATCGAGCGGTTGAGGATGATGACCAAACAATTTAAGTCTCAAACTAAAGGGCTTAATCTGAACCAGCCCATCTGGCGACCGATTGCTTGGTTGAGTTGACTGACATACGATGCCGACGGATCCACTCGGCAGATCTTGCTTACGGTTCCATCTATATGATATTCTCATAGGGCTAGCTGATCGAAACTAAACGACCAACTATTTTCCCTCGACGAGAGCGACCTTCATGCGAATGATTGCCTCGGTTGACTGAACGCAATGTGTTTACCGATTGATAGTCATGTTACTTCACTCAAATTATAACGTATATCTGATATTAAATTAACACATTAATTGCACTTAGTGAGGTTATCATAACCGTTCCCTCATTTCCATAATTGTATAATTAGGCCTCTATAAATATGAGGTCAAAAGATGAATAAATGACTTTTCTCCTTGAAATCTCTATTTTGTCTTTTCTCTCTCCTCATTTTGGCTCTAATACTCGAGGTGTGTACTTTCGAAGGACAATTTATGATCCAACATCCTAAAAGATTGTGCGGTGTGCCTAGACATGCCACAAACGAGAAATGGTGCAAAATACAAAGGACAGATTTCACAGAGATATGTAGCATCCATGAAGTTCAATAGAGGGACAACACGTCAAGACATTCAGGAAGAAGTTTAAGCACTGTGGGCGCAGATGATGGACCGGTTTGACGCCCTCCGGGCGACGATAACTCAGAGTAACATTTAACCGCCGTTCTTAGAGGGTGAGTCTCGGGGAACTAGCTCCCAGAGGGTTCCTCTTAGGAATTGACCAAGGCCCAACAGTCAAGCTGGTGATCGACAGACCGAAGGGTAAGGGCACTCCTAGCGCGCTGACAGTGTGAGATCTGTGAGATCTATGCTCAGGTTCAGGCATCGAGTGGATTGAGGGGGAGCGCCCGCGCGACCAACTGCAGGCAGTTCCTTCTCTCGGCGGATCCTGGAGATTATAACCCTGGTGAAGCTAAGGATTCCTCATTTGGATCCTTACAAAAGAAAGAGTGACCCAGCCAAACATGTGGCCTCTGTCAAATCATCGGCCAGAGTCTTGTAGATCGACGACACGATGATGTGTCGGCCTTTTCATATTATGCTAAAGGATTCCACACTTTGGTGGTTCAACAGCCTGTCGGATGGGATCTTTCCATCCTTCTATAAATTCAAGACTCTTTTTGACGCACTTCACCAACATGCAGAAGCCAAGGAGGGATACCAAGGCTTTGCTCCAGATTAAGTAGGGAGAGCATGAAAGCCTGTGGGCTTACATCACTCGCTTTTAGAAGCAAATGTTGGAAAAAAAAGACTTGGAGCCTCTCATCGCCCGGACTGTCCTAAAGAAGGGAATCCACAACAGGCGATTCAAGTACGACCTGAACCTGGTCAAGTCAAGATCCTTCGTTGAGGTCTTAGAACTAGCCAACCTTCTCATCGCTGCCGAGGAAGGCCTTATGGACTCTTTAGAGACCAAACTGTGGTCATCCGACCGCCGGTCGGAGAAGCGAAAGGATCGAAACAATGGGAAAAAGCTGAAGGACGATCGATGCCCTATTAGTCGGCAAAACCAAAACCCTCAGTTCCGGGATAACTGAGGAAGTAACTAGGGCAACAATGGTCAGAGGTACCATTTGGACTAGTGGTCGGCTCAATACTATGAGCAACCGCATTTGGGGGATGCAGGATTCAAAACCCCTAAATGTGTTGATGCAAGAAGGCCCCTCCGTTGAAAATCGCTTTGGCACTTCAAAATCCAACCAAGTATTGCCCCTACCACTAGGACCATGAGCATGACACACGGGAGTGTCTCTATCTCAAGAATTTTGTGAAGCTGATTAAGGTCGGGAAACTGAGGGAGTTCGTTGGCGTCGAAGGGCACACACGGTGACAAGGGAAGGCCCCAACGACGAAGTTGTATATGGACCCGTCTGAGCAAATAAGATCCACCTAGCTGGAATCAATTTAGCTATCTTCGGGGGAAGTGGAGAGTCATTCCAGTAGTCTAGCTTGAAGATACACCGATCGGGGGAGGTATGTTCCCTCGCCTCTTACGCTCATACTCATCCTCCAATCATTTTTACAGATACAGATCTCCCACCAAAGGGGTACCCGTACAATGATGCAATCATTGTTATGACAATCATAAACAACTATCAGGTGGGTAGCATCCTGGTCAACACTGAAAGTTCGATGAACATCTTATTCAAAACAGTGTTCAACATGATGAGATTTAAAACTGACTAGTTAGCAACATCGGCTGGTCCACTTTTCTGCTTCTCCGGTAAAAAGAAAGAAGTATTGGGCGTGATTGCTTTGGCCATCTCTTGTGGTGAGCGAGAAAAGAAGTTCATAAGTATGGAAGACTTTTTGGTGGTAGAATCTTTACTGACTTATAATGCAATCTTTGGTTAATCATTCCTGAATAGTTACCAAGCGGTGATTTCAACTTACCACGTGATCATGAAATTTCTCAGAGATGGGGAGATAATCATGGTCTTAGAAAACCTAGAGCACTCAAGAAGCAGTCACCTTCGAGCGGTCAACATTATCAATCAAGAGCCGCTCGACATTCAGATATCAAGGGAAGGGGGTCTCAAGACCAGTGAGACCATTCTTCGGGTGCCCGATAAGGAGGAGCCTGGTAAAGTTTTTTTTATTAGTGAGAGTTTTGATGCAGGAAACAGGGACCCGTTGATCCAAACCCTCCACACGCATCGGGATGCCTTCTCTTGGGCAGTCGTGGATATGACTGGAGTTTCGATTGATGTCATGTGCCATTGGCTTAATATCAACCAATTCACTCGACTGGTATAGGAGAAGCTTCGGTCGATTGCAAGAACCTTGGTCGAGCCAATAGCAACGAAGGTCTATAAACTGAAGGATGCGGGCTACATCTGGGAGGTGTGGCAGCCTACCTGGCTCTCGAATGTAGTGATGGTTCGAAAGCCAGGCAGAAAATGAAGAATATGTGTCAACTTTACCAACCTCATTACTGCTTGTCTGAAGGATATTGTTTTCTCGGTTCTTTTTAAAGACTCGAAGTTACCAGCTTGGCTATTTATATGTTGTCGTGTAATTTTTTTATTCGAACAAATCTCTCCCTTGAATCATTTTAATGATTCGAATAGGAGAAGAAATGAAAAAAAGGATACACAATAACAGATAAACAAATGAAAACAAAAAAAATAAGCGAGAGGCTTATATATGAGTAATCCTCATGTTGTGGGTTGAGAATATACGCCTAAACATGATCGGATTGGAGTACCTCGAAACATAACATCCATGAAGAGAATTCCTACATAAGCCACATGTAATCAGAGAACCAAAAAGAGCATTTTTTCTGGGGTTAGGATCTCCTAGAGTAACATATCTATCTGGTTAATTATATCTTGGGAGATACCTAGGAACACTCTCGATAAAACAAGTTTCACTTATATTATTAT